GTTCCATTCAGTACGTATTCTTACGTGAATCATCTAAAGCAAATATTACAAATTCAAATTTAATTTTTCTCTTCTTTATTATTTATTAAAAGTGTACTGAGGAAATGGAAGAAAAAAAACACATTTTTACACGAAGAAAACTTCAGTTGTATACTATTGTTCAAAATAATTTAATGAGCTTAAAAACGGATACATAATATAAGTTCATAGCAGTTTGAAATTAAAAGAAACATCTCAGTGAAACTTCCGTGTTCCATTCAGTGCGTATTCTTACGTAATTAATCTAAAACAAATATAACAATTTCAAATTTAATTTTTCTCTTCTTTATTATTTATTAAAATTGTACTGTGGAAATAAAAAAAAGACACTTTTGCACGAAGTAAAACTTTAGTTGCATACTATTGTTTAAAATAATTTAATAAGCTTAAAAACGGATGCATAATTTAAGTTTATAACAGTTATTCATGATTGTTAAGGCAAGTTTAGCCTATATTTAGCTTTCTGCTGAGAGTTGGCAACTGTAACTCATGACTGTTTGGTCAAGTTTAGCCTGTCTAAAGTCTACGCTTATTTTTAAAATGGCGCAAAACGTCAATAAGGAGAAAAGCCACCGTTTTGTAAAAATGAAATGTGTTTGTTGTCTAATTTTGAAGTCTTTAAAAAACTTACTTGCTGCATTACTTGGGCTCATAAAAATTTGCAAAAACTAAGAATAAGGCAGAGATTTTGATAATTTTCATCTAGGTCGAAAAATGTCGTCATAAATTGGCGATTTTTAAAAATGTCGTCATAAATTGGCGATTTTTAAAAATGTCTAAGAATTTTTAAAATATTTAAGTTATTTGTCTGTTCTAAAGCCCAGAGGATTCTTCACGACAAGATTATATATAAAGTGTAAAATCATCACATTGCTTCACGTATAGGGCTATGTTTTTTATGTTTGTTTGTTTGTTTGTTTTTTTTGTATGTTTTTTTTTATTTTTTATTTTTATTTATTTTTATTTTTTTTTTCTTCTGCGACAGAGCTTTGAAGAACAGCGTTAATTCTTCGAAATCTTCTAATGAAAGTTAAACATTTTAAAATTTAAAGTTAGCAGATTCATGTATATTTTTTTTAAAATTATTTTTATTTTGACAAAAAATACTTTAAAAAATTAATAAATAGTTAAAGAAGTTTAAAATTAAATATGGAAACTAATCCACGTTATTCTAGTTTTGTTTGCCAGAATTAAGTATTATTCACAATCTCAAATCCTCACAAATTCATACTCAATAAAAAAAATTTCGAAGCACAACTTGTAAAATACACGAAAAGTTCCAATAAGTTATATTTAAAGAGAACANAAAAAAAAAAAAAAAAAAAAAAAAAAAAAAAAAAAAAAAAAAAAAAAAAAAAAAAAAAAAAATACTTTAAAAGATAAAAGAAGGGATAAATTTTGAGTACCCACATTTAATGAGTAGTAATTTAAGCTATTAGCTATATTACTATTAATTTTTGTGAAATTTTTTTTTAGATTATACAAACTAGTTCCATACTTCCAGAAAATTCATAGTTCATTAACACATTTTAAACACTTGTAAACATGCTGTAAAGACTAAATGCAGCATATTTCATTCGTTATGAGTGAAATGAATCATTCTAAGAAAATTATATGCCGCCTTTAAGTATTTTTTTTTTTCATAACGTGGGATGTTTTGTAATTTATACAATTTCCGGCCCATCACCGTTTCAATGACACCAAATCGTCTCCCAAGACTAAAGGTTAAACACTCTATCCATATAAAGTCATCACTTTAAAAAATCCTTTGTAGTTCTCTTGTAGTTTACTGCTTTTATCAATTTTGATTAGAAAACTGTTTTAACAGTTCTTACGCCAAGAGAGAGAGAAAGAAAAAAAAAAACGCCACAGTTTAAGTGCCTTATGCTTAAAGCGAAGTTACAATTTACAAACTATCGATATCTTATAATTTTATTTTATATTTTATATCCGTTGTTGAACAACGGACCCAATTTTTGGGGCTTACGACTACCGATGTTCAACTCCGTAGCCTTGCAATCTTAAACCCAACCCAGGAGACAAAGGAATTCCTGGATCAAGTATTGGAAGGAATTTGCTTTTATGGAGGGCTTTTTGATAGAACTAACCAGCATTTGCGTTACATGGAAAGGAAGACCACGAGATCCTTCCAATGTTAACCTGACGGCAAGGGGACTCTAACCCATGATTCGTCTACCACTGAGGATATTTTACGTTAGTACTGTGGTCGGTGTGAGCCGGGTGCGGAATTCGTATCGTTGCTGGGATTCGAAACCGGTTCAAAAACTATCTAAATCAATATCATCTCCTCGGAAAGGAATTATCTGGGTTTTAGAATGGACATATGACTTATCCATTTTAAAATTTGCTGAACTTTTTTTGAAAAATTGCCAAATTGGAGAAATTTTTTCCACCTGGAGGAAAATTATCAAAATTATTCTCAATTTTTATGATACCAGATAATGTGGCGTTGGAGTAAGTTTTTAAATATTAAAAAAGTAGATGACAAATATTTTTCATTTTCTCCGAAATGTGACTTTTCCTTACATTGACGTTTAAAGCCATTTATAAAATAAACATAGAGTGTACTGGCTAAAAATAGACGACACTTGACCTAACAATCATGAGTAATTGTTGCAAACTCACAAAAGTTATGAAAATAGCATCATTTAATGCGATTACAAAACTTTTGAAAAGCAGCGTTAAGGCAAATAAATGATTTAGCGCTTTAGAATAGTATATTTCGTTTCATAGCCAAAATAGGAAGAACTTCGTAATAAAAATAACTTTCAATGAATTTTTTTATAAAATAAACAGAAATAATTATTAAAATAATACAAATTCTTTTCAAATATTAAAAAATTAAATCACAAATGCTTTTCAATTTCACAAAACTGTGAGTTTTCTTCATGTTAATATTCTGCGCCATTTTCATAATTGTCCTAACGAACGCTGGCTAAAGATGAAAGAAACTTCACCTAACAGTCATGAATAACTCTTGCCAACTTTCAACAGTCATATAAATAATATATTATTCACCTTATGACGACAGAGCCTTCGAAGTAAAGTAACATAAATATTAAAGTGCACCATTTTCAGAATTAGCCTAGCGGGCCAGGCTAAAGATAGTCCTAACTTGATTCAATAGTCATGAAAAGCAGTTGCAACTTCACAGAAGTTATTTTATTCTATTATATAACCGACGATGAGTAGACGAACAAATTCTCAGTTTATGACTATCAATATCCAAGTTGTAATTTTGAACCCAACCCGTAAGACAAGCGAACTACTAGATCAAGCGTTGGGACAAATTTGCATTCGTGAAAGACTAAGAGACAGCACTTGATAATTTATAGAACTTCTACTAATTTTTCTCCTCGAAATTTTAAAGCAATAACGTTAAGCGATTTGAGATTTTGAGTAAGTAATTTTAAAATGACACGCTTCTCAGTTTTTAAATTTTTTAATTCAACTTTTTACAGTTTTAACTGATAAAAAGCAATTTAGAAGACGCTAAAATATTCTTTTAACGTTAATTGCATATAAACAGAGATTCTTATAAAAAGAACGGCCAACTGTATACTGCTTAACTACCTATCAAAAACTGTTGATTGCGGAATCGTACTAGGATAATTTAGTCACAATAAGCTAATAGTAAATCTAAAATACCTCACGTTTTAAATCTGGAACTGTGGTTGGGTGTGGTTTGGGCCTTTAATTTCACATGGTTCGATGATCTTGCCAATAGAATAAATATGCATTTATTTGTGAAAATTAAATAAAGGATTAAAAGCATATTTAGAATTTTTCCTCCCTGTCGCCACCCCTTCGACCGTTGATTTCGGTCGGGAGAGAAAGGGCCTCATAAGTTAAAGAAATTTACTTTCTATTTTTTAAAAAAACTGCCTTTATTTTTACAAAACCTTAGGTGAAAATTATTTATGCTTCACTATCACTTTGTTATCACTTCATTATCACTTTGTTATCATAAATGGTGCAGTTATAAAAAAAAAAATCTTTCTAACTGTCGAATAGCTATGAATTCAACTTTCTCAAGAAACAAAAAATAAATGAATGAAAAATTAAATTAAATTAATAAATAAATGAATAAAATAAATGAATAAAATAAAAGTAATGAAAAAGAAAGAAAGAAAAAGGTACTTTTTTTACACAATGAAAAAATTTTGTTTTATAGTAGTTTCGTCAATTTTTTTTAAATCATAAATGGTGTAGTTACAAGAAAATTATCTCTCAACGATCATACAAGTTAGCAGCTATGAACTCAACTTTTTCAAGATATCAACAGCAATGTAAAGAAATAACGGAAAAAAGAAAAGAAAAAAACGGAAGAAAAGAAAAGACACTTTTTTAAACCTAGTAAAAATTTTGTTTTTGACCTGTTTTATAAAAAGGTTTTTATCATAAATAATGCCACCAGAAGGAAAATTTTCTCAAAGATCGTACAAGTTAGCAAATATAACCTCAACTTTCTCAAAAAAAAAAAAAAAAAAANAAAAAAAAAAAAAAAAAAAAAAAAAAAAAAAAAAAAAAAAAAAAAAAAAAAAAACATTCATTACAAAATGCAAATGACTTATGAAAGAAATATTAACGAACGGTTTCTAACAAATGCGCGTAATAAAGTATACTAAAGCAGTTCACAAAGGTTAATCCTTTCTTTTCTCAATACGATTCTATACTATAATCTGCAACACCTGCGGGTAGAAAAAAACAAACCATTAACTTTTAAAGAAACCAAACGCATTAAGTTAAAGTAATATTGTTAAGCATGACTAATGAAACTGGGGAGGAGTACGATCTAGCAACCTTTCATCAGATATGCTTTTTCTAAGTTATTCTTTCCTCTACTAAAACAAAGCTATTGTTGTTCTATAAATAAGCCAAAATATATCTTGTGTGAATAAAGATACTAATTTAGTTCCTTAATTTTTTTTTCTTCCTAGATAATCGCCAATTGGAATGCTTCAGAGAAGTGTGTGTTAGTGGATTATTGACTTTGATAGTTAAATCTGCAAAATTGAAACAAATATTGAAGTTTGCAAAAGCAATAAAAGTTTGTGGAATTGGAATGCTCCAATGATGTGTGTGTTAGTGTATTATAGACTTAAAATACTTAAATCTGCAAAATAGAAACAAATATTGAAGTTTGCAAAAGTAAGAAAATTTTGCGAAAGTAATATTTGATAGAAATTAAAATTTGCAAACGTTAAATTTGTTTTAAGAAGCAAATTGGAAAATTCAGACTCATTTAAAAAGGTGCCTTATTTTACTTACTTGTATTTCAAGTCAGAGTACCAAACATTAACCAGCATATGAAGATATAAATTATAAAAGTTATTGGGATTAAATTATTAATTTATTTAATTTATATAATGCATGCATATTTACAAACTTGAATAAAATCACGTAGTTCACAGTTTGATAGTCTAGAATAAAATTAGTTTGCTACAATAAAAATTCTTTCGAAAGTGAGCTCAAGAAAAAAAGCCTGTAAATCTAAGCAAGTTAAAAATTTTACTTATTTAAGTTCAAGTTTAAAGTTACACAATTTACAAATTATTTATAGAACATCGTAAATATCCTGTTTCATAAAACAACCGCAGTAGAAAAAATTCCACTTTTCTCATACATATGTGATTTTAGTTACACCACTCATAAAAAATAAAAAAATCACGAAAGAAAAAAAAAGGTTGGAAATGATAGAAGACCCCCAGACAGACTGCTGTAGTGTGGTTCTAAACAGCTGAAGCTCCATCGCGCCAAAGTTTGGCGGCAAGGTCGTCGCCAAGGCAACTCAACGAAGCCGAAAAACTTTCACCATGCGGCTGTTCAAACGATCGTCAGGCGCCCCGCCTCAGTTGCTTCGATTGTCTGTTTTAGAAGAGGGAGGAATGATAACTTCCACAACAGCCTCCCCTGGACTGAGACTCTCTCTGCCGAGTTGTTTTAGTGAGTGTAATATAGACGATCTCATGGCTAGCACGACTCCGAAATCTCGCAGAGGTAAGAATTTTCATTTATTATTTTATTAGTATTTTAAAATTATATTTTGTTTAAACAAACGTCATAATATTCAAATGGATGCCAAGAATAATCCTGATGCAGTAAATGAATGTTTGGTGTTATGTTGCGCGTGTGTTTATGTTTACTAATATTTCGTGGACTCGAGTCAGCCGGCAGTTCACGCCAATGAAAACCGGGCGCTTAAATTTTTGCGCTATTTTTTTAATGTTTATAATTGAGGTAAAGCGATTTAATTACATTATTTCTTCGCTTTTTTCCCTTCTTTTTTTGTTTGATGAAGATATACAAATTAAAATTTGTCAGTGAATATCGTCCACGTGCTTTGTTTTATTTATTTATTTGCACGACACGGCATAATCAAATGTGATAATTTTTTCAAAAATACGCCATGCCACGCAAATAATTTTTTTACAGAAGATTAGTTACGTTTTTTCCGCCGATGTCCATTTTTAAATTTTTAACAACAAAATATGATGTTAATGGTTTTAAGTTAAAATAAGATAAAAAAATTTATGAATTTCGTAATGTTTCCTTAAAAAATCGCCTTAATAAAGTTATATTGCTTAACTGTCCCACAATAAAGCGGGGTATAAGTTGCATAAAATTTTAATAATTATTTATCCTATTTTCCCTGAAATTTAAAATTTTCAGTAAAATAATGCAATTTGTTGAACAGTTTATTTATCATTTATGTTACTAACATTTTACGATGTTACTAGTGTCTTAAATTACTGTTTAATAATGATGCATAAAATCCTAACTTTACCCAAGGTTTTTTTTTGTTTTGTTTTTAATTATTATTTTAAATTATTGTATTTTTTAAGAACAGGGGTCTGCTTAGAAGAAATTTAGGTCCGTTAACGGACACAAAATATCTTTTCATAAAAACGGACCTTCACAAAATATTTCAACTTAAAAACGGACCCTTAACAAAATGATTTTTCTTTTAATCGGACCCTTCACAAAATGATTTTTATTTTAATCGGACCCTTCTCAAATTTGTTTATCTTCATTATTGTTTTGTTAATCGAATAAACCCTTCCCAGGGCAGAAATGAAGAAAGATGGATGTAAACGAACTAAGTTTTGTCTTCGGCAGACGATTCTTCCATTATTCGTCCGAAATGAATATTCTGCGTTCAGCAGTATAGGCTAAATACAGTGAATTCGCGATAACTCGAATCTGATAGGACTGACGAAAAACTTCGACGTATCGGAAGTTCGACTTACCGTTAGTTTCGGTTTTGGACTTTGGATTTAATATTGCCGGATTATTTAATTAATGCTTATTTATTAATTACAAATCTTCGAAATGCTTACAATATTTAAGATCATTTTTCTGACAAGCCATTTACGATAAGACTGTTTGAAGCACTTTATGATACCCTGGTCCATCGGTTGCAACTTTGCTGTTGTGTTTGGCGGGAGAAACTACAAGTTTACTGCTTTCAAATTAGGT